TTGAAACTATAGGAAATAGAAGTGACAACTCTCATAATCCAAAGCCTGAACTTGTTGGGTATGCCAATCTCTTGCAGAATATGTTCAAGAGCATGCCAATCCAGAGTGTCACAGGCCTTCTGGATGTCAAGATGAAGCATACATCTAGGTGTGCCATTAGTCCTGTTGTACCCCCTTACCAATTCATAATCCAACATGATATGGTCATTAATTTTCTGGCCAGAGATGAACGCTTCCTGACTAGGATGGATAATATTATTCATAATGCAGCCTAATTTACTAGTTAGGATCTTAGAGATAACCTTGTATATTATAGTGAACCAGGAGATAGGCATGTAATATTTAATAGTTTTTGCATCATTACCTTTAGGGACTAATGTCACTAAAGTACAATTGATAGCCCTATACATGTAGCCCTCATCAAAGAACTCCATAACAGCTTCCAACACATCCTGCTTCATAGCATTCCAAGAAGCCTTGAAAAACTTAGCATCATAACCATCAATGCAAGAAGCTTTTGGATCTCCTATACCCTTTAAATATTTTTCAATTTCTGAAACAATCACAACAGCTTCAAGTCTAAGTCTTTTCTCATTTGACACCTGAGGGCCTTTTCTCATAGCTAGCACGTCTATACCCTGTAAGCTCTCTTCAGATTTCCTCGTCAGGTTGCCATACAGCTCCCACGCCTCATTTTCAATGTTAGTCTTAGAGGTTATGAGGATGTCATTCTTTGTGTAGAGTCTCTTTATGTCAGCCTGCTTCTGTTTAGATTTTACATATGCATTAAAAAAACTATTATTCCCATCTCCTAATCTCAACCAATTTATCTTAGATCTCTGTTACAGCATTTGCTCTTCAGCTTCACTATACATGATCACCGCTTCAGGGCACACCTTGACAGCCATAATACAATTAACATTTAAGTTGTCTTGTATAAGGTTATTTTGAGCCTCCAGAAGATCAGTCCTTGCTTTCCTAAGGTCCTTATGAATGCCTAGGAGAGGTTTATTCATCTGAATCATCACAAGTTTTAACCTTTGAAGCTTCTTCCATAATCTCACCATAAGTCTATATCCCATAGGCTGATGCCGGATCCTAGCAATTGCAGACTGATATCCTTCCATGGAGATCACAGAGTTAATGAACTTAAAATTATGCTTCTTATCCTGGAGATGGCCAAGTGAAGGCTCTAAACACAATAATGCATGATAAGATATACCAGGTTGCATGTAGTGCAATGTGGTGGACATAAATATCCGGAACCAATCCATATTAGCCAGGACCCTATTAATCCTAGAATATATAACCCCGTCAACCTGCTTATTGGACCAAGAGAATTGATTAGCAACATTATCCATCTCAGTCAACCCAGTCATCTGCATCATATCAATCAGGTCCACGTACTCCCTTTCAGTCACAATATTACCTCCAACCCTATCACTAGCCTTCACAACATTGTTGAAATCCACAATAAGCACCCAAGGTCCTTGTTGAGAGTTAGCAATCAGTTGAATGTCCCTCCATAACCCTTTTCTAACCTCCAACTTATTAGAAGCATATAGGCAGAAAAATAGTGCATAAAATTACCCCTGGTATCATAAATTCCTCCATGAATCATTTGCATAGAACTACTAATGCACCTGAAATCTACACGATTATGATCCCAGTATATCCAAATCCTCCCATTATAGTGATCATTATAGTTATCTATACACATACCTTTCAACTTCAGCTTATCTCTAACTTTCTGAGCATTGTCATGCTTGACTCTAGTCTCAATCATCACAACAATTCTAGGGTTTAGACTGTAGAGGCGGGAGCTTACCTCTGTAGTCTTCACCACCTTGTTCATCCCCCTCACATTCCATGAAACAATCATGGAACAAATTTGTGACTGCCAGAGAGATCCTTCAAAATCCCTAGTAGCCCAAAACCATTTTGATAATGAAGAGGGTTTGATGTTAATCCTTCCCAAACTATAGCCTTTCCCCTATCTCTGCCACTTGAAGTAACCTGAGTCTACTCTAACTGAGTCACCCCTGGGTTCTCTGCTTTTCCTTCATCCTTTTCCTCTTCATGTTTGGCACTCATAGCAGTAGCTTTTAGCTTCCATTCTTTAGGAGGCTTCTCTCTCTTTTTCATACAGTCATGGCCAAAAAGCTGACACTTTCCAGAATACATAGGTCTTCACTCATACTCAACAGGCTGCTGCATATTGCTGCCTTCAGCATCTTAATTGGTGATTTCCTTAACAAGCTCTTGTGTGGTGTCCACCTCAACCAGTATCCTAGCATACGAGACTCACAATTTGCTAGTTATGCATTCATCAGTAACGACTGAGTTTCCAAGGGAGCTTCCAATCTTCCCCAAGCTATTAGCTCCCCACAGGTATAGAGGTAACTGAGGGAATTTCACCCAAATCAGGACCTTGTGCAACATATCCCTTTTTAAGTTGAAATTAGGTCTCCAATCAGTCACAGCATAGGCATGTTGCATATGGTATAGGGGTCGTTCGCAAGCACTTCATCCTTCTCCCGGATTGATTTGAATCGCAGAATGAAATACCCTTCCTCATTGAAGAACATGTCCGGTAACGTCACAAAATTCTAGGATTTCATCATGTATTGCTTCACTGCATTCATGCTTAAGTCACCACCAAGCACATACATGATGAGCGCAGATCCCCAAAATCTTAACTCCGGAATCACATCCTCCTCTTCAATCTCTACCACAACTGTTCCATTGATGATCTTTGGTGCCACAAAGCTAATTGTCATTCCTTTCGCAGGGTTTCTGTTCTCATTTATCACATCCACCCATAGCTTCTTCACCTCTGTTTTTCCCATCATAATTTGCGATTAGGGTTTCAGGACCCTTTCCTTTTCCTTCCGCAGTCAACAGTTCACAAGTATTGGTCTTCTCAACTTCATTATCCTCATCTGCAAGCACAACAGAATTCCGATGAACCTTAACAAACGTCGATGTCAATGACGATGAAGGCACCTTCGGTGGCCGCCCTCTCCTCTTCAACCCCATGTTGATATGATTAAATATTATGTAACTAATTTTATTATTATTATTATTATTATTATTATTATTATTATTATTATTATTAATTTTCTCCAGGTATGAAAATGACATGTTATTAGCAATGTAAATTGTAAAAATTAAAGTGTAAAAAATACTAGAGAATTATACTAATTTCTCTTATCAACTAAGAGCATATCTAATTCCTTCACATCTTGAAGAAATTTCTACTATGTTAGATACGTGTACATCCAACCTTGAAAGACACAACAATTAATATTTTTAAGTGATATTGATAGCACGATGGCTTAGAAACTTTAGAGATGAAAAAATGAATAATTTTCTAAACATCTAAGAATGTAAATTATGTGAATTATATTTGAATACCTTTATTTTATGATCAATTTCTTTTAATTTATTATCCATTGACTTTTTTAATTTTGAAATTTAATTGAGTTAAACTTCAAACCTTTTCTTTTTTAATAAATTTTTGTATTCATCATTACTAAACTAAGATAGATGAACATTTTTTCACGTATTTAAGTGAAAAAGTATTTAAAAAAATTTTCTCTTAAAGAAGGAATACTATTTTGGACCGTCCCTTGTATTAAACGATTCAAAGAGAATACTCTCCTTCTATTCTATTAGTTCACTTCAATAAGAGAGAATTATGAAATTCCTTAAAGGTTTAATGATAACAAACTTGATAGGACATAAACATTGAAAATTCTAGGTAATTCTTTAACAAATGCTCTTTTTTTGCCCAGTTCATTTGAGTTATTTTTGCTAATCTTTTGTCTTTGAAAAAATATGATGTGTTTAAACAAAGGGGTGCAAATCTAGTAAAAAGGGGGTGCATAAAGAAGAGTAAACCCCAAAAGCTATATGAGATCCAAGCTGAAAAGGCAGCATCTTATCGATTAAATCTAATAGGTTGATCGATTAGGCATGTTTGGAATTCAAATTTTGCACCACTTAATTTACTAAGCCTAATGAACTAATTGATTATATAACTCTAAATGTGTCATTGGCATTGTACAAGCCAAATGATATATAAGCAAGTGAAAAATATAACTCTGTTATCCCTTCATTTTAGCATGACATTCTTTATCCCTTCATTGTAAGATATGTGCCTAGATATTCAACTCACTCACTATGCAGCAACAAGTATCCTTATTCTGAAAAAAACGTAATTTTAATCTATTAATCTATTACTTCTTAACTCTTTCACTTCAACTATTAATATAATTCTATATCCCCATATTGACATATGAATAAAGAGAAAATACTCCAATAAATTTACAAATATTCCTCTGCCATATACAAACTGGCTGAGACACAGACCAATAATCCTAGAAATTACAAATTCTCAAAAACACACTTGCAACTAAGTTTACCATCCTCTTATAATTGAGTCATAACATGAATCAACAGTTACAGGATTTCTAATGAAAATGATACTCATTATCAACCATGTCTAATACTTACTTGTATCTGTTTAGAGGTGTTCTGTGATTATGAGGTAGATACTGGACTAGCAGTTATATGATGTAAGGGAGACTCACATCTCATTAGTGGAGACAGTACAATATCCCTCCCAATCACATAAGATGTACCCATAACTGGTTATTTAAGCCAAAATACCAAAAGTCAATTATTATGATTGAGACAAAATCAATATGTGATTAATTAAAACACTGGTGTCAAGAACAATCTCGACCCAAAAGTCAACAGTTTTGGTACATCATTTGTCAACCTTGATATTATTACATTCATTCAAGTCTAACTAGGCAGCATCTATTCGGTTGGAAAAAACAACCAAAGGATAAAATGGTCAACGAAGATTTGAAGTTCAAAGGACATATCTCAACAGAATGTGACCGACAAATCTAATTCTTCAAAATAACAAGTCATCACTTTGACAAAATGTGTGTATATGTATATATACAAATGGGCACGGCAAAACAAATCTACGCAACTTCAGAACCCCTAATATATGAAACTACAACTGTGGTATCATCAAGCTTGCCACCATAGTAACGAAATCCAGCATCTTGAGCAGCAGTTGAGAAAGGAGTCTGCCTGTCTTTATCCAGTGCGCGTTGACGTGCCAATGCAGCTATCTTCTGAGCAGTGGCCTGAGGGCTTAAGCCAGCTCTTACACCATGGACCACCACCGCTGTAATCTCATTATGGTATAGGTTATCAAACAACCCGTCCGTACCAGCGACTATGACATCACCAGGAGCAACAGCAACTGTAAAAACCTGATATAAACAATAGAACCAATCTAAGTACCCTGCAAATATCACAACTAGGTATCCAACTAGATGGAAGAGTTTATTCTCCAGTGACCAAAAATAATAATCAATTACAAAACCTGACAAATTGTCAGGGTTAAATACCGTATGAAGATAATATTCGCAAAGCGTTACCCCGTGACATTAACAAGACAAGATATTATTAGGCAGAAACTAGTAGTAATACATGTTTGATAGCAAATCCTGTCATGTGTGTATGTAAATGTTTTGTAGCAAACTTGTCAGAACACTGCAGGACTAAGGCCTCAAATATAAACAGGTAGGACCAGTAAACAATTATCTCAAAATCGGCGTGGATCATATACTACATAAATAACATACTTGACTCAACAACAATTAACTAAACGAAAAAATATCTGGAGCTCATTGACACTGGGATGGATGAGTGGTTTCTACTTCCGATCGCTCTATCACCATTTAATCAAGCTTCAATTCAGTCAAAATTAGACCTATTTTATTCAGGCAATAGCATAACTCTTAATTGAATGTCTAAACTTAATTACACTATAGCTGTGTACATTTAGTACTCACCTACCTTTTCTTTTATATCAAGTCCCTAAGTTTACAATCAGTATTAATTAATGGTTACAGGTTTGTTTCAATTAGACTATTGACTATTGCAGATTAGATTATATGCTCGGCCTGAATTTGCAATTACAGATCTCACCTGTAATTAGAGCTAAAATACGTAAGAGAAAACATACAAAGAACCGATCAGTATAATTAGAGAATATAAAAACTAAATAAAGATGGCACATAAGGGACTAAATTTCAAAACTTAAAAAACAATTGACTAAATAAAACATAAGGGACTAAATTTCAATTTAGTCAATTGTTTTTTAAGTTTTGAAATTTAGTCCCTTATGTGCCATCTTTATTCAGTTTATATATATATATATATATATATATATATATATATATATATATATATATATATATATATATATATATATATATATATATATATATCCAAAATCTAACCATAGATTCACATGCGAACAGGAAATTATGGGTTTTTGTCAATTGGAAAGTGATATGAAGAAAAACCATCATATTATTTTGTATGCATTTATAATTGCAGATGGAAAGTATATATGAAAGAATAACATTCGAGAAATGATAATAATTAATACCTGACCAGAACTAGGTATATCACTATTGCTACCATATTCCAACTGATAGGTGAAATTGAAATCATGTTGCTGCACTGGAGATCGGAATATGGTGCAACCATCACGAATAACCATAAAGCCGCTGTCTCCCAAATTAATGGCACTAAGCCCCTGTGAAAAGAGCACATCAAATGAACATATATTGACAAAGAATGCTCTGAATAAGAGATCTTGTAACAAGGATTACGGAATAACCTCAAAATTCAAAACTGATTCTTGATAACTCATATATGCCCAAAAAATTCACAAAAAAATAAAGGTGGATCATGTTCCAGGAGTTCAAAAGTACTCATCATTAGCTGATCTTATACTTTGACAAGTTCAAGGCCAACAGACTTATATTTCAAGAAATTAAAGAACATCGGTCCTTTATCACTAGACATTGAAAATTATATTGAAAGCCTGCGCATCACCGACTAGTTTTCTAGTTATATCACCCTACCACATATAAACTTACTACAAATAGGGAGTTGATATGTAAGGGCTGAAAGCAGTCGCCAAATGGCCTTCAAATTATTCAAAATAGATAATGAAAATATCAGGAAAATATATGCAATAAATACGGAATACAAACTTCATAGTTAATTCTAATCTATCAGTATTCTAAAATGTTTTAGCTTTCAAGCACTGTATTCTGCAACTTAGTGAGACAGAATCGAAGTTCTTGCAACACTCTGAAGTAGATGGCATAAAAGTGGAGCTAACCTGATCAGTAAGAGCAATGATGCATGCTGTGGATGAACCCTTGGCTTTAGTACTTGAGTGTGCTTTTTCCAGCACCCTAGCTGGGTCAACAGAACCTTTGGGCTCATCTCGAATAGCATCCACTGATTTGGACATGAGCTCGCGAGAGTAAAATCCAGAATTAACACCAAGATCTGCCCAGCCACCAACACCATCAGCCACTCCTACAGCTTGTTCTTCAGAACATATAAAATGAGCATCTTCTCCACCGGTTTCTTCTTTATCAGGATGAGGCAAGTAACATGATCCCGATACCAGCTTCAGGGTTTTCCCAGAAGGAGTTTTCCTGCATTCACCATATCCAATCATGTTATATCAACAATTAATATTGGAAATTCAAACTATATTTAGTCACTGTATATAGTCACCAGAAGTTTTTGGTTATAAAATTCAAATGTCAATGGTAAAGAATTTATAACAAAAAATAAAATCAAGTTATTAATTTGCATATAATCCATAAGCTGTTTTCATAAACTATCTTAGAGAGCTTAAAGAAATAAGTTGAAAACAACTTTTAGACATATCATAAGCTGTTCTCACAAGCTCTCCTAAACAGTTTCGCAAATATCTGTGTCAGTAGTACTCAGAAGTTCAATTAAGTCAATCAAAACAGACTCTAATTAATAAATCCAAACAGATCCTTATTAATAAAACCGATACTTTCAAGTCATTGATACAAAATCAATGGTTTAAAATATCAATATTAAATAATGGAAGTCATCAGGCTTTCTTATATCGAGGAAAACCTAGAACCTTCAATAACATAGGTGGGTTAATGGTTTACAATGGTAGGATAAACTGCATTTACAGCAGAACTTCGAGGGACTACAGTTCACTATGCCCGAAGCCCCCCGACTTTCAAATGATGAGATAGTCTTCTTCTCAACCCTTCTGAGTATGAGAAGGGTTAGTTAATCACTATGTTCATATTCCCAAAAAAGCACCAGTCAAATGCAAATGATCAATAAATGTCGGCTTTTCAGTGATCTAAAAATATTAATGCTACAAGAACTAAGTGATCCTTGCCATGTAAAGATGGGATTCAATTCAATCATGTGTCTCTTTTACACAATTGCATTAGTCAAGATCCCCATGTTTAGTTTAAAGTACCCTTAGAGCATAATTTGGTGAATTTTAATATGCCAATAACTCAAACAGTCAAACTTAACAGGTCACAAGAAGCACGATGCAAAACAAGCAGCACTAAAATTTTTATATTGATTTAACTGTAGAGAGCTGATATTGTTTCACACGCATGCTATGTTTACAATGACAAAAAGAACATCATGAAAGGGAGACAGCTTACAGTTCAGATGAATCTGCAGAATTCGTTAGCTTCTTCTCCTCACGGGAAGTAGTGTCCAAAGGGGCATCATGAGCAGGGCCAACAGAGTTGCATGACGTTGACGAACTATGGAAATCGCCTTTCCCCGACTGCGTAAAACTGAAAGAACTGCACCAACTTTTTGCAACATTACAAACAAAATAGCCAAAAATTGCACTATTATCTGGCCGCTGATGGTTATTCAAACTCATGCTCACTCTTCCACCATTTCCCAAACCAGTGTTAAAATAGACACTGTTGCTACTCTTAGTTACCAACAGACCACGACCACGCTTCGGAGTCAAGTAATCTAAAGAGCCTCCACCACCAGCTATCCCAGGTAAGCAGGCAGCCATTCTTTTAATCCGAAACTTGCGGCCAGCTGAAAACTTGCCCGGTCCAGAAAGAGCACAATCAATATGATAACCACAAACCTGTATGGAAGGCCCCGATACAGAAGGTACCGAAAACGTTCTAGATACCGTATCAACAACAGACAATGTCCTTCTTTTGCCAACAAATTCAGAACTAGAAGCTAAGGCAATCCCGGGACGCACAAACAGGGTTGCCTCGAATAACGAGGAACTCGATTTATTCACAGAATGAAAAAACTTAGAACTAGCAAACCACAATTTCCCTTGTCCAATAAAAACTTGAGCAGTGTCCTGAAATCCAGTTTCCTTCCCCAAAATCTTTCCAAATCTCAAAAAGTAATTGGATGGCATTTTAGCAACAGAGTAATTCAGATTCATCAAACACAACAAGACGGTTACCAGCACCAACACAAGCTAAATACAACAATCTCATAACTCCAGACACATTAACCCAGACCTAAATTCACCACAAAAAAGCATAGGAGGAATCTTTAATTAGTTATAGACCTGAGTTAATGCACAAAACAATAAAAATAAAATTGTTAAAAAAGAGAGGGGAATCATACAATAGGGGGAAGTGAAAACCCTAACCCTAAAAGATTGGAACGTAACGAGAATGCGTTGATGATTATTGGAAGAAAAAAGGGATTAAGAGAAAGAGAAGTTAGGGTTTCGGTTGAAGGCGGTAAGTTTCCAGGTTCAGAAAATGAGCTTGTTACAACCACAACCACAGCTTCATTACATGTGAGATGTTTAGCATGTGCGTTTATAATATTAATTTAATTGTTTTTTAAACGGAATCTCGAAATTTCTATAACTATTATACATTTTTTATTCTTTTATTATTATTATTATTATTATTATTATTATTATTATTATTATTGTTATTATTATTATTATTAAGATTTAAAGTTATCTTCATTGACGATGTAAAATTTATGTCAATGAATTTCAATTATATTTTTATTATAATTATAATAATAATAGAATAGATTGAGGATTTGTCATTATCAAATTAAAAATTTAAGAAATATTATCTTGATATTAAATAAATAATATTATACTATTTGATTGTGCATCAATATGATAAATAATAAAGTATTATAATAATATTATTTTTTAAATATAAAAATTACTTTTTTTATTTTTTTATATTTTAAATTAAAGGTAAGAGATATAAAATTATATAATTAATCAATTTCATAATTTTATTAATTAAAATATTTTATATTTTAGTAATCAAGTTTATTTTACTACTAAAAATTAATTTTAATATTTGATGGTTTATTAATCAACTTATAACTTCATTAATTAATATTTTATATTTTATTAACCAATTTTATTTTACTACTAAAAATTATTTTTAATATTTGTGCGTTTATTAACCAACTTTATAATTTCACTAATCAACATTTTATTTTTCATTAACTAATTTTATTTAATATTAAAAAATATTTTTAATATCTGAGCTTTTATTAATCAACTACACCATTTCGTGTATAGTCTATTTCTTCTTTTGAGTGATCCAACTGAGCATAAATATTGTCGTGGGATGTCACTTTCGGGCAGTGAAGGCTTTTCATAGATCTTTCTAACAATATATGCTCTTGCCTGGGAAGGTCTTAAGCCAAGTTATTACATACTCAGTCAAATTTAGTGTAAAAAGTTTGCACTTCATTGCCCCACGTGTGTGATAATATTCTAGAAGGTTGTCCATGTGCTTGTGTTCATCTGTGTTCTCAGTGTTATCATAACTCTGAAGCTTCTGAGGTTTCTATAGTGACCTCAAAATCCATCTATCGAGGATACAAGTGGACATGTGGTTTCCTTTTTGCTTTGGAACCGAAGTGTCTTTGTCATACATTTCCCTCATTTAAGGACGACAAACCTTTGTGGGGAGTACATCTATTACTTCCCCCCTCAAGATCGAGGGGGAAGGGTCATGTGTCTTTGATGACGATCGCGATTTGATGATCCCAAGATTTCTCCCCACGATGTTCATGCCTTAATAGATACCAACTCAAGAATGACAACTTGATTTCTTTGGGAGGCCTCCTCCCATACAATATTATTCTTTGGATTAAGGTTATCTTTAATCCTGAACAATCTTTCTTGTAGGAATTATGATTTGTCCCGTTGCACCAAATTATAAATACTATTGAGCAGATAATTAACTTCTTGCACCCTAAGGTTAGCATGTAACAGTTGAACGTCAGAGAGCGTTTATTGTTTAGGTATCACAGGTAGTGGTGGAGGTCTATGGGAAGGTTCTCCTTAACGAAATTGTTATATGGATTTGAAGAATAAAAAAGTTTAGAACACTCATTAACTGACTCTCGATGGACTAGGGTGTTGTTGTGAAGGATTGGAGGAGTACACTACCAAGATTGGATCGTCCTCTGTTTAAGGAAGAAGAGGTGGATTTTTAACTGCTTCAGTAGCTAGGGTAGTAACTTGTCGTTGAATGACATATCAAGTGACTTTTAATGTCATCATGGTCGAAGAATCTGAATAAGGATGTGTTGGAAAAGTAACTTGAAATTTCAAGGAAGAAGATCGAGAAATGAATATCTAAACTTTTGAGAGAGAAAATTTATATCTCTAGATCATAGGAAATATAAACGTGGAAATACGTGGGAATTAAATTTGGATCTCACAGACAGTGCTAGTGTTCCATGATGGAACCATAATTGTTCGGTAAAAGGAGAAGTATTGTTTACTATGGTGTACTTGAGCTTCTGATATCGCAAAGATGAGACCGATTTGCAAAATTAGTATTCTAACATCCAATCAATAAAAGAACGAAAGTGATGTAAGAGTGAAAATGAATTTTAATACATGAAAAATGGTGTGTGTTTTCCTCTTAAATAATGGGAACTTTTTGAACTAGAAAGCGTGGAGTGAAGTGTGAATCACGTTAGATGTTTAATTGATATGGATGGCTAACAATGCTCCTAAAGGCATAAACACCTACTTCAAGGATAATAGAGGATTGTCTACTCTCCGCGCTTGTTATTTTTATCTTACCATTAAGTATTCCATCTCGGGCCTTATAAGCGTCCCATAACAACTACCATTTACAAATTGAGTGAATGGTAAAATAAATTGTAAAAGTTATCATAAGTTGTAGTATTATATTTAGGAAAGAATTTATAAACATGCACCCACTCATTTATTAAAAAAATTATTGTTAAATTATAGTTAAAAATTATTTGGAAACATGCACCCATTTATTTAAGAAAATATTTTTAAAATTTTAATTTATATATTTTATTTAATTAATAACATAAATTTTATTAATAATATTAATTTTATAAATTATTTATTTTTAAATTTTTTAACAAAAAACTTTACCTACTACTAACTAATTTATTTAAAAATTAGTCAAACTTATAAATGTGTCAGCTGAGATTTTTGTCATATCCTCGTGGTCATTTTACCAATAGAGCATAGACATCCTAGACCCTTTCCCGTTGACGTCTAGCAAACTAAAGTTTATAATCCTCTAAGTATGCTACTTCATGAAATGGGTATAAGTTGAAGTTGTCTCCAAAATCACAATAAAAAAGGGTTTGTCACTTTTATTAGCAGCATATCATGTGCAAGTTTGGTTTACTATGAATTATCATCTTAAGTAATGTTACTCAATTCATGAACTTCATTGTGGTTGATTTCTGCCAAGACCTATAAGTGTAGACAAAGTTCATTTCAGTCTACCCACAAGAAAACAGACAGGCCGTGTTGGAGAACAAAATAATATTGGGCAGGATAAAGAAATGGGGTGTACTGGTCCAAAAGTATATGTGTGCATGTTCCCCCATGCAAAGGCATGGAGACTCAAAGGTCTTAGTAGGTTTATAACATGATATGGTTGTTAGGGTTTGCTTATGACACCGATAAGTCTTATACGGTGGTGTTTGTGGTAATTTAAGAGTCCTGCTCGCGTAAGGTGAGAGGCTCTGGTGTTGATCGATGAGGCTTGAGAACAAGTGTATGTCTACGACCAGTATAGTGTTAAGACCTTGGAAAATCTTGTTCTCTTTAACATGTAGAGAATGTGTATGACTTATGATCTTTCATTTCTCCCCTTGAAGGAGATGTATTTATAGAGGCCTCAAAGACCTAGGGTTTGAGTCACCCTTAGTGGCGTCAACCGCTCCCTTCTTATCAAGAGAAATTATTAACCACTTATATTTCAGGAGTTGGTGAATATTCTTATTTCTTGACTCGCACGTCAGGGATACCTCTGGGTGGTCCTCTGAGACATCGCTCGAGTGACACAACTCTTGGACAAGGGCACTGAGGTTTAGAACTTTCACAAATATAAAACTATAAGTCAGATGAAGCAAAGGGGCTCTAGGTCGAGCAACTACACTAAGTAGAATAGTCATATCACACCACCCTCAATCAATTACCAAAGAAACTCAATTTATAATGCTATATGGCATGGATTCCATGCTATATGACGAAGTCAATGCATCCACATGAAAACGTTCTCAATTTAATAAAGAAGAAAATGACGTAGAATTAGCCGAACTAATATCACCCATATCATAAAATTCCTCGCCAAACAGGGGGGTGTCATGAGGTACAACTCTGAAGTAGTCCCAATGGAAATGCATGAGAGGGGCCTCGTGCTCAAGTAAGTTGCCATAAGATCTCTCTTAGGGAAATTACAACCTAACTGGGAAGGTCCATGTCAACCATGTTAAAAGTTATCTCATAGAGCTTACAAACTTGAGGAGCTGGATGGAAGACTCGTCTATATAACATGGAACTCGGTTAACTTGTTTTCTATTTTAATAACGTAAGTGGCATTTTGTCTGCCAATGTATGTAATTTCTTAAATTTGTCTTGTTATCATATTACCATAAAGTAGGAAACATTCAAAAGGAGGGCCACTTTTAGATGATATATAAATGTTGGATCTTCTCTAAAGAGTATTTTTCATCCAATAGGCAATATAAATGTTTGATATTCTCTAAAGAGTCTTTGACTCCCTAGAGGCAATATAAATAATGAATCTTCACTAAAGAGCCCTTGTCACCCAAGGGGCACTGCCGATATTGGGTCAATACTAGAGAATTATCAGGCTTCGTCAACCCACTCACGATTTACTTTATTGCTAGATCATAAAATACACCACATCTTAAACAAATAGCATATTGGAAGTCTCGCCTTAGAGACTCAACTTGATGCCTCACCAGAGGTACTGAATTTAAAGTCTCACACCAGGGACTAAAATTAAAATCCCGCTCGAGGGACTTAACTTAAACTCTCGTCTAAGGGACTAACTTATAGTCTCACATGAGGGACTCGACTTAAAGTATCGCTTGAGGGACTCAACTTAT